CAATTTGTACATTTGTACATTTGTATATAAGAATAAATTCCCGAATTTGAAAATTCGTAAGTAATCTTTGGTTCCGAATACAATAGAATAATAAAGACGTTTTCAGTATGCTGTCATATGAAGAAAGGTTCGAAGACGGGCAGATGTTCACTAGCGGATTCAGAAATTTGGTAAGAGGCGCGCGCTCCTATTGACGTAGCCGAAGTAGACCTCCGGTCGGCTGGGCTGTCAATTGGTTTGCCTGGCGCCCCCCCCCCCCAATCCGCGCGTGATGTTAGCGATGCATGTTGAGTCATGCTAGTCGAAAGTGCATCTACGAAATCCAAATTATGCTTTGTTAATAGTTGAGAAGCTCTTTCACTATCCTTTTATGGTAAAAACTGGGTCGCAATCGCCCAGTAAATGACAAATTTTCTTCTCGCAAGATTTTCCAGAGCTTTCAAAATGTTGCCAATTTGTCGACAGAGGGCGCATATGAAGAATGAAGTTGATTCAAATGGCATGACATATAACAGAAAGCGAAGGCGTCTTATGAGTTTGCTCGAAAGACAAGCGCAGAATGCGAAGGCGTCGAATGACAGAGCGAATATGGGAACGACATGGCACTTTGTGGAATTGCATGGCGTGGCATTAAATTACATGCCAAATGGCATATTGTGTTGTGGAATTGCAATACAAATACTCGAGTCTCCCATCATAGAATGGCATGTTGATGCGCCAAGGGGCATAACATACCATATAAATGACATATTCTAATTTTGGCAGGAATACGACGCCATATATAATACCATTAATATACACAAATAGTAAGTCAATTCTCATACTATATTAAGTCAAGTAGTGATAAATTAATATAAAAAAACGTTATATTAGTATAGACAGAAGTCGAGGTAATTCCGTATAAGAGTACAAAAGCTGATTACAATGAATCGAGTCAGAAGGATACTAAATATCGCAACACTTATCAACATTTCAAAAAAACAAGCTTTGATTCTATTCGTTAAGAAATGAAAAACAATTCCAAGAAATTTGATCACGACATGGTTACAGATAGAACACGGTTCCCAGTGTTCAGAGTCTTTGCATTATATAGAAACTGTTTTTACTTTGGAAATACGTCAACACTACATGCCAATGTATATTAATTAAACCATTGCAGTGGGAAAATATGTTAATGGAATATATGGTAATTCGTGTAACAGTTTTAAATGTAAAAATAAACAATATTGACAAACGATTGAGAAAAAGAAAACAGAGTAACTTTCTTTCAGTAGTTATAGCTTTATATTAAAGAGTGGGGGTCGTCGCACAGCGCGTGTTTAATTAATGCTATATTAATTATGTTAATTTCATGTAAACAAACAATGTATTTTACACGCGTTGTGTACGTCACTATGAGACCCATTTCGAACACGACGAGACGCGACGACCGCCGCACTTCAAGTAGATTGCAGTACATCCAAGTAATAAGGTTTCATTGATAAAAAAAGTCTTGAGATATTCTTGTATATATATATATATATTCTTGAATTATATTTCCGGAGTTCAATGATCTACACATACGATTACAAACGTTGACTTTCCGTTCAACACAGGTACGAAATATTGCTCTATCTGTTATTAAATTTGCTATGTAAGCTGCAACACAGTTCAACCGCCTTGCACACATCTTCGTATCACATATATGGCCACCGTGACGACAATCACGACAACGAGTACACTCGCAATTGTTGCGAGGATAAACAATAGATTGCTAGATCGTTGTGGAAAGTATTTCATAGAAGCGGAGACAATGTTGGATCTGGGAGATTTGTTACCGCCGTCGTCAATAGCAACCACACAGAACACGTAAGTAATGTCACCTGTGGAAAGAATAATTACGTCATTATTACTAATTTCCATCATTGGGTCATATTAGGATTTGTTCATGGAAAAAAAAAACATGATCGAAACATTTTTCGGAGTTCGAGGAGTTCAACGCATGCGCAAGCTTACCCTGAGTGGGTACAACAATGTTAAAGACTTCAGTTTGTCCTGGTGATTTCGGTGACGACAAGACGCCCTCTACAAAAAGATCCTGTGTAGTATTCGTGGTATTTTCATAATTAGAAAACATGGCACTAAAATCAGTATCCATCCATATCTCGTAAGATGTCGCTGTGGAACACAATATATTAATAAAGTCAAACAACTTGAACCACTTCATGTCATATATATATACACCTCAATAAAAAAAGTATGTACATTATTTGACAGTTGAGAGTCCTGTCAAACACATTGCGCAACAGGTTTGCGAAAGAAATGTCACAAATTACTTTTAAAAAATGTAAAGGGGAGCTCATAATCTTAAATATGTGAAGCTAACAAGGTCGTGTTAACTTCTCCCTCTTTTGTAGGCAATAGTTAGCTTTCGGGAGGCAGCTGAGAAACCCACCAGAACAAATGCGCCATTTATTTTGCGAAAATTCCTTTAAATCAACTTTATAATTCTCACTATACACATATTGGAGTTGTATTTACTAATATTAAAAACAAAGTTTGTATAGTTGTAATTTCATCATATTTCATATAAACCTATTTTATAGTTGTCATGGAAATATTGATACAGCCACCGTCGGCGTCATTATCTTTTAACAGTTACTCAGTGGAGTAAGCTGATGCTTAACAAATATTCAAAAAGAGAATTATTAACCTTTGACTAATTGCAACATTCTCGTTGTAAAAAATTATATCAAATTTCGATATCTATCTTACGACTCAGAAAATTCAGATGTAAGCGGTAAAAATAACTCATCTGCGCATCGGACGTGCGTAGAAGATTTGGGATCACTTATTCATATCGACTTGACACACGGTGTACACGGCTATACGTGAATGCCAGCTGACTAATGCCGTACTTACGACATTTATGTAAATGACTTCAATAATTCGATTGATTTATAAACATCATTAATTTATACACAGTTTATAAAATATGTTCATGATTTAATTATCTTACCATTTCCAAAATCCAGATCATCCCCCGGTGCGGTGAATTGAAGCGTTATGTTTCTATCATCGTAGGATATTTTAGTCACTTGTAGATCAACGATTTTTGCAGGAGGGTACAGATCATTTAACCCTGCAAGTACACGAGACAGCAAATTGCATAATGATAGTAGATGACTTAAAGGCGGTGGTCGTCGCAATGTGTTGTGTTCGATATGGTCTCATTCGAATTATAGTGTTATTTTTTCATTAAATTCGAACGCGTGCTTGAAGCGCGAAGGTCTTCACATGTGCACATGCAAGAATTGAGTTCCACGCGACGAAAAAAAACAACCGCTAAAGCGCAAAAGCTTATGGGTAGAATGACACGCTATGGCCATCTGACGCATGCGCAGGTGACGACGACTCCCCCCCCTCCCAATGGGTACATTGGATAATCCAAGTTTTGTATGCAGCACGTCCAGAAAGACCCGTGTAAAACCATAATATTTCAACCTACCACTGCATGCGGAACTCCCATCGCATGTAACACTGCCCCCATTGGCAATTCTCTGAAATGTTCCGGTCGATTCATCTTCAGGTTGTTGTCCAGTACTCGGCAGGTCAGGATTTGTTATAGAGCCAAAACCTACCACTCTACTGGGACTAATTACAGTATCGTCTCCTGTATTCGTTACTTCAACCTAGTAATCAATTAATTTATATAAAGGTGAATTACATTGTCAGTGATTCATTCTGTTACACTATACAATATATTGTTTACTTAGTAGTTTATTTAAGCAATAACCCCCGCCGAAGGCGGGTATACCACGAG